GTCATTTTTGTGAAGCTCCTCATGAGTGTTGGCTCTGCTGTTACAGCTCCTGCCTGGCCAGAGCTCAATCCCTCCTGCCAGCCAAACTTTCTGCCTGGATAAACTCCTTAGCACAGAATCACAAGGTTGGAAGAGACCTTCAAGATCATCAAGTCCAACCCATTCCCTGCATCGCTGGTGTTTTGAGATTATAGGACAGCTTTGGGTGGAAAATGCTTTTGAAGTTCCCTGTTGTATCTGAAAACCAGTGAGGATCCTTAAGTGCAGATTGGAATGAGGGAGAGTTGGGATTTTGTGTCAACTCCAGGGTGAAGGGTTGTGCCTTTGGGATCTTGGGCTTCAGGATGAACAGCTGGAAAGAGCAGGAATGTGGCTGGAGTTGGGAGGGAAGTGATGAAGCAACAGGGACCAGAGGAGTTCTGGGCATCTTGAAGGTGAGAACCAAACTGGAGCTTCACACAGGAAAAGTTGAGGGCAGGGGTTTGTTGTGGTGTGGAAGCTGCTCCAGAGCCCTGGCAAGGGTTCCCACTGGGAGTGCCAGGTTTGGGGAGGAAGGTGAGCAGTGGAGGTTGTACCATCTCTGCTCTCTCCATCTCTGGTCCTCCCCTCATGCTATTGGTGACATTCCACGAGTTTGGCAGGCAGGGCTGTGGCTTGTCCTGCAGACAAGACATGGTGTCAAAGTTCTGTCACGTTGAAATGGGAATTGTTCCCTCGTTTGCTCCTTGCATTTTTATGAGGAGCAAGAAACGATGACAAAAACAATTCTTGAAATATGTGGGATGGGGTTTCTTTTCAATAAAGCAAAGCTACTCCTTGAGCTTCTTTCCGAGCTGTTGGAATATAAATTATCTGCTTGATCTTTTTATTTTGTGCACCACGTGTGACCAGAGGCAAAGCTCTGGAGGACAATGGGGCTGATATTCAAGTAGCTGCTCCTATGAACCACAGGCTGAACTTGAGAGCACTAAAAAAACAACAATATTGCTTGCAGAGAATGCTGCTGCAGAGCCTGGGCTGGTTCTTATGCTCCTCACACTGCTGATCTCCCAAACTGCAAAGGAAGAGGGAATTTGACTTTAACAACCCTGTTAAACACTCGTGCAAGAGGGTCAGTTCATGCTTATTTTCTGAGGTGCTTTAAGACATTGAGCTGTGGTTTCTGGATGAGATCTTTGGCTGGACTTGCTTTGTCAGGAGGAATTGAGAGCTGTTAGAGGCAGGAAATCTTTGGGTTTTTTTCACTTTTCACCCACACAGCCTTGTACACCTGAAGGTTTGGGTGTTTTTCCCTTCTGCTGGAAGAATACACTTGTTCTTCCTACCAGCTTAGCCTAAGGAAAAGTCCATGCTTTATGTATAATTGCATGGGGTGAGTTTATATTTTTCACTTTTCTTCCTTTGAGGCTGTTTGACCATTGGAAATACATTCCCTTATTGTCCAGTGGCTCTTCAAGAGACTTTTGACAAGGGCCTGGAATGACAAGGCAAATATTTTATTTTATGAAAAATGATAATACCTTTCTTTGTCCTTTACTTGTATGGAGTGTGAAATGTCCATCTACAAACGAGTTTGAGAGGCCCTGTTATTTTGGCAGTTCCCACTGTGCTCCCTTGACATCCATCCTCCAGCAGCTTTGTCCAATGTTCCCAGGCAGGTTCTGCAGGGAAAACCAGCTCTGTGTGCCTTTGTTTTGCTTTATTTTGCCCAGAGAAACCGAGGCAGATCCGATTCCCTCCGGCGAGCATTGCCTGTGCTATTGTTTCCCAGGTTATTTTGAGGAATGCCTTCCCCTGGGATTTTTCCTGTGTTGGCTTTTTGACCTTTTTGCATCCTATAGTGAGTGATTCTCTTGATTAAACCCACGGTGTTTCTAAAATTAAGGGTGATTTGAGGGCTTTAGCTTGGAGGAGGAGGGAAATAGGGATTGTTTAGACTGTGCAGGGAAAAGATCTGCTCCCAAAAAAGCTGTGTGTGCTTGACTCCTGAAAAGTTCTCTGGCTCTGAAAGTGAGCTGAGAGAATCTGCTCTCCATGACTTTGAGGATGAGGAGTTTCAGTGGAATCATGGACTAAGTAAAAATTCCTTCTAGAATTCTCCAGAAGGTGGCACAGCCGGTGTGCCCCATGAGCCCAGGGTTGATGCAGAGGAAGGAAGAAACCTTAAACATCATAAAAATTAATCCCCACTGAAGGCCAAATTTAACATTTAGATTGAGAAAAGAGGATTTTAAAGCCCTGAAAAGAGAAAAAATGCACTCAGACAGGAAGTCTTGGGTTTGTTATGGAGCAAGGAAAAATGTTTTTAAAACTTTATCATAGAATTATGAAATCCCAGGATGGTTTGGCCTGGAAGGGACCTCAAAGCTCATCTCATTCCACCCCTTTTCCATGGGCAGGGACACCTTCCACTATCCCAGGTTGTTCCAAGCCCCACCCAACCTGGCCTTGGACACTTCCAGAGTTCCAGGGGCAGCCACAGCTTCTCTGGGCAACCTGTGCCAGGGCCTGACAGGGAGGAATTTCTCCCCAGTTTATCAGTGCTGTCTGGGGGGTGGTGAATGGAAAAAGCAGCTCCCAGCTGGACACAGACGGGCCCTTCATGGCCCAGCATCCCCAGCTCGGGCAGCTGCAGCCCTGGAACAACGAGGCCCTTGAGTCCCCTGAGAGCCACTTGGCCTTTGGCAGCTTGGGTGGCTGCAAGAGCCTTGGTCACCCTTTCCCTGCCCCTGACCTTCCTGGGGATCTGAGCATTCCCTCCATCCCGAGCAGGACCCCTGAGCCCTCCGTGCCAGTCACGGGAGGGTCACTGCTGGTGTTTGCATAACTCACAGCTCTGTGGAAGGTCCACCCTGGGGATAGCCCCTCTCCCTGCTCACAGTTGTGGCCATTCCCAGGTGGGCTGTGTCACTGCTCCTGGAAAACACGGTTTTGTGGGTTTGTTTTTTAAGTAAAAGGTGTGATTTAGTCAATCACCCTCACTGTCATTTCTCTTCCTGACTAGAAATACAGAGTTTAATGGACAGATTACTTTTATCCAAAATTTAGTGTTTTTCTGAGTGGTCAGTGACATGTGACATCAGGTTAAAACCTGGAGCAGAGCAGTGGAGCTGGGGTGGTTCAGCCTGGAGGAACAGCCTCTATTTCTATTAGAGCCTCTGTTACCTTGTTCTGTAAATCCAGTAATGATCCAGGCAACAACAGCATTCCAAAGCCACTCTGAGGATTTCATTGACATTTTAACCCAAATTATAATGCCATTTGTTCCTTCAATTAGTTCTGCAGTGTCTCAACATGAGTTAAATGAGGGGTTTAAAGAGAAATTCACTTTTTCTCATCCCTGGCTGTGCTGTGGTGTGTCAGGAAAGGTGCTGGTGGTGCCTGCAGGAGCATCCTGCTCCGGTGTCCCACACCTGGGGCAGTGCAGTGGGATGTGGGAGCTTTGGGAACGTGGTGGTTTGGGAATTGTTCTCATCCTTTATTCCTTGTTGTAAATGACAGCCTTCAGTTGTCCGTGCAACCCTGTAAGCCTTCCTCAGGCAGGTAAGCTTTACTCATCATTGCCTTTTAGGGATGTTTAAAAGCCCAGTAGTGGGACTTTGGGAAGCTGATCCCAGATCATCCCACAGCGTTTCTGGGTTCTTTCAGCCACGACATCATTGCAGTGACAAACACCGAGGAATTTTGCAAACCTGCCTGCCCAGGGACAGAAGGAAATAGCAACGGTTTGGGAATTTGGGAAACGCTTTGGGGATTGTCCTTTGGAAACGAAAATGTTTCCAAACATTTCAATTTGTGAGACTGCAGCCGAGCTCGTTGGAGTAAAGCAAAATGCAAGATGTAAAATCCGAGTGAAGGACTGGGATGCTGAGGCTGGGAGGGGAGCTGTGCTTGGGAAATACCTCGGGAATGGGAGGGAGAGGGGAGGTGAGAGCCCTGGCGCTTGTGAAAAGCCAAGGGCCTTTTGTGATTATTGCTCTCGATAGGGACTTTTATGGGCTGGAGCTTAACGAGCCCGGCAATTCAGTGGAGGTGTTTGTTCTTCTCTGCTCCTTCAAAGATGCTTTTGATGCCCCAGGTTTTGTTCTCAGAACAATGATGGGTTCGATAACCTCTGGGGCTGCTTTTTGAAGCCTCCTGGTTCTTGTCTTGGGCTGTGTTGTTGTTTTGCTGTGTATTTACAGCTGAAATAAGCAGATCGAGTTTCTTGAGCAAGAAAACCCCATCCTGGTCGGAGCAGCCCTGGCTGTTGGATGCAGTAACACACAGAAGGTGTTTGGTCCCTAATTGATCTTTGACTTCCCTTTTTTATGAAGTGAAAATAACAGGAAAATGCCGCTGGGGATGTGCTGCCACACCCGGGGGTAGCTGGGATTCTGATTTCTAACCCCAAATTCTAATTTCTGGGTCGAGATGTTCATCTTTTAAAGACTTTTAAGGCAGCAGTAATTTTTTTCTGAGTAAGAGGTCGCTACATAAAATTTTTGCCTCCTGGCAAATCTCGTGTTACAAATGTTGCTGCAGGTTTAAAGTGTTAATTTATGTGGTATATTGGGTTGGATTTAAAGGTCCCTGAAGACCTTTGAATCTCAGTAGCTAATGAGGCTTGCAGAGAAGAGGTTGAGAGAGGCAAAACTTACTGGCAGTGAGTAATGCTGCAGAAGGAGATCCAGGATTGAGCAAGTTTTGCTGAGAAAAATTAGGAATTATCGCATCGGCCTTTGAGTTGTTTGATTATTTCCAGCCATAGGTCTCCTTGCAGCCTGCTGTCTCCCATCTCTGGGGGAAGGATTCTCCATGCTGAAACCCCTCAGGTGGAGTTTTCCCAAGTCCTAGACTGCTTCCAAGGGCACTTGGATGAGCTGAGATCTGTGAGCAGCCGTGTCGCATCCTCCTTGTCTCTCTTGCTCGTCCCTGCTGGAAAGGATTTGGCATTTAGGCTCCAATCTTTCAGCTTGGCTGAGATGCAGAGATGCTTAAACTTGTCCCTCTCCTTACAGCTGGCCTTGCTGAACTTCTTCCACCCCGAGGAGAAGCTGCACGTTGGAGAAGAAGGGAGGCGCGTCCGTCGGAACAAAAGGAGTAAAGGCAGCGAAGGGCCCGACGGTGAGTCCTGCTCAGTTTCCCACTGATTTTGGTCCCTTCCCAGATGAGGAATTCCAGGAGTTCTGATTTCTGCAGTTGTAGGTCATGTGTGAATTAATGCTGCATAGGTATTCCATCCTTGGCTCCTAGAACGGTGCTTGTTTAAAGTTTAATTTGTAATTTTTTGTCCTTATTTGTTGTCCTGCACACCTGGCTTTGCTTAAAATCATCAAGGAGCTTTTCACAATCCAGCAAACAGCTGGGAACATCTGCATCCCAAACTGGTGACTGCTTTAAGGGGGTTTTGAGTTGCTGTGGAGTCTCAGGTAGGGCCAAAGCCCGTGTGAAGGGAAGGCAAAGCTGTACAAAGCTTGGATTAGAAGAGCAGAAAGGTTCCTGATTTCTTTGTGTGGAATTTGATTTCCAGTCCTGCTTTTCCATGATTGTCATGACACAAAGACAGGAGCATGAGCTCCTGGAAGAGCTCTCGTGCTTCCCTATGGCAGGAAAAAACAGATCCCCTTTGTAGGAGCAGAGAAAGGACTGGATTCTGGAAAGGTTCTGTGCCCAAGTCCTTACTCCGTTATCACCATCAGTTTTCCAGTTCAGCTCCATCTCCTCTGAAATCTTTGCAGTTTCACAGTGGAGAAGCATTTTTCTGTGGCTCTGCTCCAAGAAGGAGCTTGGTGAAACTTCCTGGATTCCTCTTGCCCAGAATGCTGACAAGTCTGATGCATTGGGTGCAGACTCTCTGAGTGATTCCAGCCCAGTGTGGGCTCTCAGTTTTGGAGCTGGTGTCGCTCTGGTGCTCAGATGGCTCACGCAGCATCCCAGTCCTTTTCCCAGTCTCCTTGAAATCTATCCCGGTGTCTTCACCAGTTGCTTGTGTAGTAGCAAGTTCCCACTGGAGGCGAGCGGAGTTGATGGAGCGCTGCTGGCAGATGTTGGGAGGGATTAACTTCATCCCTCAGGCTGCCTCTGCCTTGCCAGATGTGCAGAGAGCTGCTGAGGAGAGATAGGGTTGGTTTCTGAGGAAGGTTTTACCCATCACCCTTGTGCCCAGTGTTGTCCTTTCATGACTGGCATTCCTTTCCCTGATTTCCCTGATGTTCCCTGGATGCTCAGAGTTGAGTCACTCCAGAAATGCAGAGCACTTCCACCCTTATCCAGTCCTGGGAGGGGAGTGGGGCTGGGAAAGGGTCTAGAACACCTGGGGGTGGCTCAGCCTGGTTCAGGGGGACCTTCTGGCTCTGCAGAGCTCCCTGACAGGAGGGAGCAGCTGGGGCATGTCAGGCTCCTGCCAGGGACAGGACAAGAGGGAATGGCTCCAAGCTGTGGCAGGGGAGGGTCAGGTTGGACATCAGGAGGAATTTCTTCCTGGAAAGAGTGGTCAGGCATTGGAAGGGGCTGCCCAGGGAGGTGCTGGAGTGCCCATCCCTGGAGGTGTCCAAAAACCACCCAGACATGGCACTCTGGGCTGGGGTCAGTCACAGGTTGGACTCAGTGGTCTCAGAGACCTTTCCCAGCCCCACTAATCCTGTGATTCTTACCTGTGTTTTTTGGAAAATTAGGGATTTTGACCCTACAGGTGATGGAGATGAGAAAACTGCCAGAGTGACAGGTTGTGTCCCTCTGGCTTTGGCAAGTGGTTGCCCCATGTTTGGCTGTGGTTGTTTTAGAGCTGCACTTAACAAGTGGGAGCTGTCAGGGCAGGGCTTGACCTTGTAACAGCCATAAAATCGAGAAACAAACAGAGCCACGGCCTTGGGGAGCTCAGGCTGTTTGTTTTAGACCTTTGTGAAGGAATCTTGCTGTCAGAGCAGGGCAATGAATCATTAAACTAATAAATAAAATCATGTCATGGTCCTGATAACACCGTTTTCTTCTTGAGTTTTGCAAAAGAAAGTTGATCAAATCTTTGATCTCCAAAGAGCCTCCCAAAGATAAAAGTGGCTGAACTATAAATTCCCAGAAGCAAGGAGATGTGCTTTCCACTTGATGCCTTGCTAATATTTGTCTGGAATTAATTTTATGAACTTTCAAGTGCTTTTACACATGCAGGGAAAGACCAAAGTGATCTGAGCATGGAGGCTGGGGCTGGAGGGAGGCTGCTCCGACCCTTCCCAGCTCTTCCAGTCCTGCTCATCCTGGTACCAGCAACAGGCTGGCTTTGATGGTTTCTAAACATCAGGGAGAACGTGGTTCCTTTCCCAAAAGCTTTTTCTTTTTGGAGGATTTGTTTTCAAGCCTTTTGCTGTGAAAGAGGTGATTTTGGGACAGGGCAGAGCTGGTTCTGTGCAGCCAGGGGAGGGTGATGGTCCTGGCTGTGCCCAGGGCATGGAGCCACAGGGATGGGACCTGGGAGCAGCAAAGCTGCTTTGGTGCCTCTTTGTTCAAAAATCCAAGGAAAATTGTGTGCAAAGCCATCAGTGGGATCCTGTCACTCTCCAACAGGACTCTGGAATTTCAGGGGCTCCTCCTTGAAAGACTCTGGTTTCAGCCTTCTGACCCCTGACATGTTTTATGGTTGGGTTTGCCTAATTTTGGGTTGTGGCCCTGCACCCACAGTGCCCTGGGGCCACTTAAAGTAGCTGAGGCTGTGTCCTGGCCAAGGTCCCTCTCCTTGTCCCTGAATCCCTTCAGCCCTGGGGCATCCCATGGGAACACTGGGGGCTGGTGCCTGAACCAGTCCTGGCATCATCATCCAGAAGCCACTTTCCAGTCCACGCCACCAGAACCAACTTTGGCACAGCTTTAAAAACTGCCACCAGTTTTCCCAGCTTCTCAAGGCCCAGGATTATCCCTTTGCACTCTGTTTTTTCTCCTCACTGTTCCCATCTCCACCTGTTACTTCTTTTCCTTTAATTCTCCAAAACCTGCCCCTCTCCAATGCCTCTTCCCTGTTTTCTCCTTTCCCCCCTCCTTCCCTTTTGCCCTGGTGTATTTATGCTGCTGTGGAACTGCTGCTGCTCCCAGATGAACAAATCATTCTGAAGCTGCTAATTAGCAACAGTTGTGCTAAAAGGAACCATCAAGGATGTTAAATTAGTCCACTTTTAAATAAACTGGGTATGAAATGTTAGATCTCTATTCCCAGAGTGCCAGTAAAAATGCTGCTGGCTCTTTGCTAACAAAGCCAAAATCTGGGAGTAGCATGGTTGTAACTCCAGAGACAATTCCGTGCTCTGGAGGTTATAAATAATGACAGAGCATTTACAAAGCAGATGTCAATAGGACTCTTTAAAAAACATTGTTTTAAACAAATAAAATAGTTTCTTTTTCTCCTACTTTCATCTCTGTTCCCAGTTAGATCCCTGCCGGGCTGCTTTCCTGGTTTCTGGGGTTTTTTGCATTTTGGGTTTAGGGTTGTTGGTTTGTTGTTTTTGTTTTTTTTTTTTTCCTTCCTAGATTTTTTTCATATTGAGCTTGGTGAGAAACATCAGGGATTGTTCTCCAGGCTTTGATTGGGAGCATGGCAGCTGGGAAGAGGCTGAGCAGATGGCTGGCCTTAAGCTGACAACAATTTGGTTTCTACTACTTTGGCAGTTCTTCCTGCCGAGGAAAGTCCTGGAGGAGAATTCCAGCACAGCAAATGGCTTTGGGTTGAAAGGAAAATTAAATTCTGGGGGATTTAAAGCTCTTCCCCATCCCTCCTCCTACCTGGAGCTTTGGAAGTGATGCTCCAGCTACCTGGGTCCAGTTTCACCCTCTTTGGATTTGCTTGATGGTTTTAGGGTGATTTCACTGTGGTTTTAAGATGGTTTTAGAGTTGGTTTTGAATAGGTTTGGAATTGTCTTACAGTGGTTTTAGGGTGGGTTTTGGATGGTTTAGCAGGTAGCTGTTGCCAAAGCCTGGCTTTTAGAGTGATTTTAGGTGGGTTTAGGGTAGAATTTGGATGCTTTCTGGATGGTTTACCAAGTAGCTGATGCCAGCCTGGCTTTTAGGATGGATTTAGGATGGTTTCTGGGTGGTTTAGTAGGTAGCTGATGCCAGCCTGGCTTTTAGGGGGGCTTTAGGATGGATTCTGGATGTTTTTGGGATAGTTTAGCAGGAGCTGATGCCAGCCTGGCTTTTAGGGTGCGTTTAGGATGGATTCCGGATGTTTTTGGGATGGTTTAGCAGGTAGCTGATGCCAGTCTGTGTGGGGGTGCCTGGCTCCCCCTGGGCAGCCCCCAATCCCACAGGTGCCCTGTCCCAGCCATGCCCCTTTCCCGACCCAGCAGCACTGACAATGCAATCGGACTTTTTTTCCACGTTTTTTTTAATATCCAGCTCACAATAGCAACTTTTCCTGCTGGCTTCCTCTCCTGTGGAAAGGGCAGGTTCGTCCCTCTGCCTCCAGAACAATGGGTGCCTTTGTGTTGGCCCCTGCAATTCCCAAAGCCCCGGCATTCCCAGAAACACAGATGGATGCAGGGCGATAGAGCCTTATTGTGCTCCGAAACCATGGTGATGAGCACGCAGTAAATACTGGACATTTCCTGGATCCTGGAGCACAGGAGACTGTCCCAGAAGGAAAGGCTCACCACAAAGTGTTTGTTCTTACTGATTTCCCTCAGAATTTCTCTGTGATTTCTCCCTAAATGGGAGAAATTGGGAATAATGTGGTGTTTTAATATTTGGGGATAAACTCATCCCTTTCCTGGGATGTTGCTGTCAGTGTTTGTTATTACTGTGATAAAATTAAGGCTGCAGCTTATTTACATATCCCTATCTCTGTGTTATTCCCAGGCTTGTGATAACAGTAATCTGTTTTGGTCTCGTCCCTAAAAACCCAGAGTGGTGTCTAGGTGCTGGTTACAGCCCTGTTCCAGCCCTGGCACAGGTTGTGCAGAGAAGCTGTGGATGCTCCTGGAAGTGTCCAGGGCCAGGATGGACAGAGCTTGGTACAACCTGAGATAGTGGAAGTTGGCCCTGCCCATGGCAGGGGGTAGAATGGGAAGACCTTTAAGATCTCTTCCAACCAAAACCAGTTTATGATTTTGTGATTGTGCTGAAGCCCAGAATTCCTTCCTGAGCT